AGCGGCGCTGGAGCCGCAGCCGCCGCCGCCGCAGCGTCCTGCCCCCGCAGGCTGCTCGCTCGCCCGGCCAGTGGCGGCCAGAGCGGCAGCGGCACGGGCAGCAGAGGCGAGAGGCGGCCAGAGCGGGCAGCGGCGGCGTCCGAGGAGGCGGCGGCGGCGGCCCCTGCGCTCGCTGCTTGGAGCGGCTGCGAGGCAGGCAGGGCAGCGGCAGGAGCCGTCCGAGTGCCGAGAGCCGGCGCTGGCGACAATGGCGGGCGGGCGGAGGCAGAGGCGCGGGCCGGCCGGCGGGCGAGCGCTGCTGCTGCCCGCTGTGCTGCTGTGCCTGTGCTGCCGGGCGGCGCCGGAGCGGCTCCGCTACGCCATCCCCGAGGAGCTGCCCACAGGCTCGCTCGTGGGGCCGCTGGCACGGGACCTGGGGCTCAGTCCGGACGAGCTGCCGGCGCGCAAGCTGCGGGTGGCGTCTGCCGGCAAAAAGCAGCTGAAATACTTCACGGTGAACGAGGAGAACGGGAACCTGTACGTGAGCGAGAGGCTGGACCGGGAGGAGCTGTGCGGCGAGTCGGCGTCCTGCTCCGTCAGCTTCGAGGCGCTGGTGCACAACCCGCTCAATCTTTTCCGTGTCGAAGTGGCCATTGAGGATGTGAATGACAACTCCCCAGTCTTCAGCAAGGATGCCCTGGACCTCGAGATAGGTGAATGGACACTTCCAGGTTCCCGTTTTCCTCTGGAGATGGCACAAGATGTGGACGTGGGAAGTAATTCCCTGATTACTTATGAACTCAGTAGCAATCCATCCTTCACTCTGGCCATGAAGGAGATCACGGGTGAAAAGAAGCAGCCGCAGTTAGTACTAGAGAGCACACTGGACCGGGAGAAGCAGAGCTCCTTTGAGCTTGTGTTAACGGCAACCGATGGAGGGGACCCTGGGAGGTCTGGGACTGTTCAAGTTCGTGTCAACGTGACAGACGCAAACGACAACCCGCCCGTGTTCAGCAAAAGTGTCTACGAGGCGCGAGTGGCGGAGAATCTGCCGGCGGGATCGCTGGTTCTGCAGGTGCGGGCCATGGATGCGGACGCGGGGTCCAATGGGAGGGTTTCCTACTCCTTCGGCAACGTCCCGGCCGGGATCCGCGACTTGTTCTCTATCGACAAAGAGAGTGGTGAGATCAGGACTGAGGGGCTCCTTGATTTTGAGGAGAAGAGTAAATACAGCTTTGGCCTGGAGGCGAGGGACGGAGGCGGGCTCACTGGACACTGTCAAGTGCAGATAGACGTAACGGATGAGAACGACAACCGGCCCGAGATCACAATTCTGTCACTGTCGAGCCCCGTACCTGAGGACGCGCCGGTCGGCACCGTGGTGGCCCTGCTAAACGTGAACGACCCCGACTCCGGCGAGAACGGTGAGGTGTCGTGCGAGCTGTCGGGAGAGGCGCCGCTGTCGATCGTGGCGTCCTCGAGCGGCTCGTACAAGGTGGTGACGGCGAGCGCGCTGGACCGCGAGCAGGCGTCCGAGCACCGCGTGACGGTGGTGGCCCGGGACCGGGGCAGGCCGGCGCTGTGGAGCGAGGCGGAGCTGGTGCTGGAGGTGTCGGACGTGAACGACAACGCGCCGGTGTTCGAGGAGGCGGCGTACAGCGCGTACGTGC